TCTAATGAAAGTGGGCACCATCAGCTTCTGAGTACCAGATCTTATGGTGGGTGACAGAGTTATTTAATGTTTATTTATTTAGATAGGCATTTCATCACAAGAGCATAGTGCAACAGAAGAAACACAAAACACTTCCTTACATAACTTAAAACATCTTATTGCAAAATGATTTACAGTAAGCAACAGTGATGGGTTCAAAGCAGAGTACAGGACACATAATTGATTTTTATTTGGCTATTTTGTGATGCATTGTGTTATTCAAGTAATTCCCATGATGTAATGGAAAAACGAAATCATTTAAAAGTTGATACAAATTTCCAGAAACTCATCTGTGTGCCTTTTTTTCTTAGACTGTAGACCTGCTGATCCCCTGAGTCCCAACAGTTCATATAGTATTAGCCCCACGGAGGAGGTCAGCCCTCCCCCTCCCACAGGAGCAGTATGGTCCCGACCTCATGCAAGCTCACGATATCCAGACAAACTCTCAGTCGGACTGGAAGGCTTCACTCAGCACCCTCAGATCCAAAGGGAGACCAGGAGAATCAATCCTCTGAAGCAAGAGTGTCCATTCTGTAGCAAAGTATGGCATCCAGTACATTTGTCTTAAACAACTACTTTGACAGATTAAGACCATATACTGTAGACCTAAGACACTCTCACTTTATGATTTCTATTTGATTTATCCCAGGAAAACTGTTTTAATGAAATGTTTGAAGTTGAATTTGAGTTGAGTTGAGTTGAGTAAATTAATGGCATTACAAGCACAACATTCAGCACAGCATGTTAATAAAACCATTATTATTAAAAAAATGAAGCATATTTAAATATACAAAATACTATAAAAGATAGAACATATAAAATATATACCAAACATAAAACTTTCATTAAACACTCACTTAAAATTACAAAGGAAACCAGTAGCTAACTCTATGAAGCTGTTCTTAGCCACAGAAGTAAGCTAAATGCTAATGCTAGGATGCCAACATGCTCACTGTGACAGTCCTGGTATATGATTAATGTGTTTGTCACCTTAGTTTAGCCTGTTAGCATGCTATTTGCTAATTGCCACTAAACATTAAGTACAGCTGAGGCTGACTGAATAGGCTACCATTGGTTTCCAGGTCAATTTGGTCACAAGCCAAAGTAATGTACAAATTTAAATGGTGGTACTAGAGTATATGCTAAGCTAACATGGGACACAAAGTGCCACAGATTCACTATCCAAGCTGCCTGTTTATACCTGCTCCCAGAGAGCATTTCCTCAACAGGGTGCTGAATAAAAATTGTCCCTAATCGGAGTCTTTCTGTGAAGCCAAACTATAAATCAAGGGACACAACAGGAGGGAGAGGATTACAGATAACTGTAGCTACCCTTACCTATATTCTCTACCAATTCAGGCTGCCAAGCCAAACTTTCATACAGGAAGCTAGCACACAACTGATGTATAGCATCTATTGATTATAGTGGCAAAAATGTAAATGGTTCACATTTTTATTTAGATTTATGGCGATTACAGACGTTAGTTTCCCAAGTCCCCGTCTTGTGACATCTACAGTTATTACCTCTATAGATTCTTTCAATCTTGACCTGTGTTAATATTGTCTTTGCAGATATTTTCATGTCTGTCTAGTTTGAAGACTCACATATGCAAGAGTCATGGAGTCAGAGCACCTTTGTCAACAACACACATCAAGACCGGTAGAACAAATACTGTGGGGTCACCATGCACTGGCAAGGTCAGCATCACGTTTTTAGACTGCTTTATGGACAATTGAATCTGTTGCAGTCTGTAACCACAGCTGCTGTTGTTGTAGGAGAGGACGTTTGGCTGTGCAGTGTGTGGGAAAGTGTTCAAGCGCTCCTCCACCCTCTCTACTCATCTGCTCATACATTCGGACATCCGGCCATATGCGTGCCAGTACTGTGGTAAAAGGTTTCACCAGAAGTCTGACATGAAGAAACACACCTTTATACACACTGGTGGGTATATGAATATGTAAAGTCCTCAGCTGACCACATTCATATAAAATTACTAAACCAAACTTTAATTACACTTTTCATCACTAATACTTCCAGCACATACACGTGTTCCAGCATTGCCTGAGAAATCAAACTGAGAGTATCCCAAACAAACTCTTATTGTTCACAAGTGATTATTCTGTATTTTTAAGTTCCCTTATAGCACTCTTATTTGTGCAAAAGATATCTATGGCAATAGCCAGCAATGCTTTTTATATCATTGCCCTGCATTCAGCTAAGTACACATCATTCATGAAAAAAGTCAAATTTTTTATTTTATTTCCAATTTTGTAAATGAATCATTACTGCTAAAATATGTCCCACAAAGTTTGTCATTTGTAAATTAAATGTTTGTTTAATCTATACAAAAAATGCACATCAGACTTTTTACACCTAGGTTTTTGTATGGAATAGTTTGCACCTGTTCTTATACTGATGAATCCCACACGTTCTTAAGTTGAACGCCTGTGCCAGTTGTTCCTAATTAGCATTGGTTACCGCCCCCCAGTTCCCATAAAAGGGCACGACACAGCAGGGCTGTGTGCACCCAGGACCTTTTAACTGCGCTGAGTCTGATCTCAGATGTGGTGCTGGACAACCAAATGTTTCCACAGACAAACTGAACACCCACCAAAATATCGGAGAGACACTTAAAGAAATGAACAGAAATTAGAAATAAAGATGTGCACCTAAACGGTTTTTAAGTAACATTTTTCCTAATTCTAAGCTAAAAATTATCATACTAAAAGCAAAGTAAAGTACTATAAGAACAAGTGCCAGATAAGAAAACAATGGTGAATGCCAGAATCTTCGTAAGGGGGTTTTGCCAACAAATTTGTTCTTAAGAATGGTTGGTGAATGAGACCCCATCTTCTCATCTATCTCTCTGAAAGACAGCAAACATGTGTTTCCCACAATGTCAAAATTCCCTCAGTTGATCACCTGATGTAGAAATGACTTGTGTTTGTGTTTCAGGAGAGAAGCCCCATGTGTGTCAGATATGTGGGAAGGCATTCAGCCAGAGTTCTAACCTCATCACCCACCGCCGTAAGCACAAGGACGAGCGGCCCTACCTCTGTCCTCGCTGCCTGTACAGCTTCCAGCACAAAGTGGACCTGCTGAAGCACCAGCAGCACCACTGCACCTACTGCTGACGGTGACATGGCCGAGTCGGCAGCTGCAGCAGAAAACGGCTTGAGGACAGACGGCTGCTGCTGCTGACTGTTGATCCTCTGACCAAGTCAAACCTTTTACTCAAAAACCATAGTAATTTATATTTTAGACTGTGCTGGGGTCTGTTGGTGTCTTGGTAGGTGAGTGTATTACAGCTTCAATGGACCTAATCCCTGCCCTCTCTCTGGCCGCCCTTTACTCTATAACCTCTTTAATTCTAAGGCAACGTACAGCGTAACTACATACATTTACTTCAGCACTGTGCTTAAGTATAAATTAAAGGTACTTGTACTTTAAGTGACAGTTTCTAGCTTTGGTCTACTTTATACGTTTCACAATGGCTCAGAGGAAGATATTGTACTTTTTACTGCACTGTTTTTACTCCACATCTTTTATCATCTTTCATTACTGTTGTGTTCACAGATGAAATGTTCAGATGTATTGCTGTAGATTACACTGCCCAACAGTAAATAAAATAGTTAAAAGTAGTGACAATAACATTTTCATCGGTAATAATAATTCATAAATACAGTATAACCTATAATAGTATATCAACTGATACCTATCTATATCTCTTTTAATTAGGTACACAGTGAATCGCCCTGCCTAGAGCTGGGTATACAGTAGTTGCGTATATGCATCACACCTCTGCTCTCAGGATACTGAGAGGAATATACTGCTCTTACCCTGCTCACAGGTTTCCGACACTAGGGATAGTAGGGATAGTATTTCTTGACTCTTGCAGCAAAACAGAACTTTGAGGTCATGGTGAACTTAAATCTGTTCACTCGTTCAGTTGTAAAAATATAAGTACTGGAAACTATTCTGATTTGAAATAGTGTTTTATTTTTTATATATGAGGAGCCTCACAATTATTGGCAATTTCTTAAATTATCAGCATGTCAAGAGCTGAGTAAAATGACATGTCAGTGGTTCTTAACTAAATAAAGATAACAGCCATTGATTTGAACTTCTGAAAGATTTGAGGTTTTAGGGAAATGTTGTTGATTTCCCACATGGTTTTTCTATATTCTCTACAGATCTGAGATCAGAAAAGTAGCATTAACACAGATTAACACAATGTGATCTCATTACTTCTCTCACTTTTTAAAACATTTAAAACAAATTGCTAGAATCTTTGTGGTGCAGCATTAAGTATAAAGAAAATGATCTAAATCCAGAAGCTTTATTCCTTTCTGCTAATTATAGTGAGAGTTTACATCAAGGCCAGTAAACAGAGAAACCCTGTCTGTTTTTGCTTTGCATGTTATCTATTCAGCTTAAATGTTGTTACCATACACACATTACAGAGTCTCATTCTTGATGTGAAGGAGATTTTCACTGTGGACATCTTCAGCTGTTAAAAGCCGTCATTGCTTTTGTACCACTGAGCTCTGGCAACGACATCATTGGAGTAGTCTCCGCCTGTTGTGGCACCATCCACATTATCATAGGTATGAACATTTCTATCCCCCATATTGTAGGCTGCTATCCCTCCTGCAGAGACAAATACAAGTGAGAATGAGGCTAAACAAAATGGGAATCTACTGAATCAGTAAAACTAACCTTTCAGCTGCTGCTCTGTGCTCCAGCCAGGAAATTTATTGCGGATCAGTCCAATAAAATGAACCAAGATCTTGGCGCCTTGGCAGAGATGTTCCTCGCTGTCCCAAGCGCCCCGAGCAGTGTGTCCACCTCCGCTTGGATTAACATCAACCTACAGAAAGAGGAAATAAAAAGGAAGAACACTCATGTTATTGTATTGTAATATGAGGCACCACTAAGAGGATGTGAGTAAAGTAGAAGTATTTATTACAACCTGCATCAGTCCCCAGGCATTATACATGCCCCTCTTTGGGTCATAGTCTCCCCAGCCATCATGTAGTGCATTTCCAGCCCTGGACTCTCTAGAGATGATGGCAGCAATCAGAGCTGGATCGATGTCATATTTATGTCCCACGCTGTTGATTTTAGACCTGTACTTATTCATTCTACCTGCATCAGTCTGTGCCATGGTATGTGATGCCTGCACGCCTTGGGAGAGAGAACCAACAAAGAACTGAACTATAGTATCAGTGCAATACATGTATCTATTTCCATCTCAATACATACTGTCGACACAGACAGTTAGTTGGTTTCAGATCAGATCTGCTCCTGTGTTTCACTATTGCAGTATTACAGTATTTACCAGAGTATCCTAGCTTGTCCTGCTGGGCTGTTTTCACTGAGGCTCCAGTAGTTTCAACTTTCATGATGTCTCCATAACCTATGAGTGTTCGGTATATTAGATTGTCTTCCATCAACACATCGACATTAGCACAAAGCATGAGGAGCTAGAGGGACTTCACAGCTACACACCCAACACATTCTTACAAATGACAGACACAAAGGCTTGTGCTACAACAGAAAGTATGAAGTCCTGGTTTTGAGTTTATACCACAAGATACTCACAGCTGAAAGTCAAGTTCTGTCAACAGTGAAACAACATAAGCACTCACCCATCTCTCCTGTTTTCTCCTGTGATAGTCCCCTTGAAATTAAAATGCAAGAGCTGGAAACCAGTGTCCCTCTGTTTGCTCTTCTGCTGTGAAAATATGACGCAGCTGTACTTGTATGTTTAGTTTCATTTTCACTATGACTTCCTCTTGCAAAAGGAAAACGCTGCATTAACCGGAAAACACATGCAAAAGGAAAACGCTGCATTAACTGAAAACACATGCAAGAGAGAAAACGGAAATAGGGGGAGCCCGATCGCAATGATGGGTTCATCCCAACATTAAGGAAGTAGAAGAAGAATAAGTAGTGAATACTACCGCGAAAATTAAGAAGAATACTACGGCAAAAGAACTAGCTAAGCTAATTTAAGTTATTATAAGAAGAAAAAGAACAAGAAGAAGACCACGGGGCATTTTCAAGGTTACAGAAACGGTACGTTTTCCATTAAGTTCCTTTTTAAATAATTGCCCGTCATCTCTTACGGTACTATAAAAGAGCAACAAATGTACCTAGCTAAGGATAGTGTGCCACAGACTGTGTTTAACTCTTATTAGCTCACGTTAAACCTAGTAACTCGGGATAATAGCGTTAGCTAACTAGTGTTTCTGTATGGTAAGCAGCGTAGATAAAATGGATAAAAAGGTGCAGTGAAATAACTTTTATTGTCAATATATATAAAGTATATAACAGATTTTGTGCAAATCAGGTGTGCAATTTCAACGTTAACTTTAGTTTTCTCTCATATACTGTACAATCTCCTTATATTGGACCTTTCCAATTTTAGTAACTCTCCTCTTCTTCCCCACCACCACAGATGTATTGTCCATTCTGCGGATCTGCACTGATAGCGTCTCCTGCATTTTGTTGTCTGTGTGGCAGAAACATCAGTTTTTTAAATGATCTGCCAAACAAAGTCCCTCCTGATGTCCCTCCCATTGCACCTCCTGATCCACAGCCTAGCACTACTACAGGTGAACAGAAAGTTGTATTCTTGTATTCATGACATCTCGGCAAATTTGTTTTAAAATATCATGCAGAAAAGACTAATCGTCAGTTTCAAAGAAAGACATTCTTTCGGAAAACACAGAACTCTAAAAACAAGAACTCTATGGAACATAAACCAGTAAAGGTATGCTCACATACAGTCACCAATGCAGATCAAATAATAAAATTTTAATTTCATTTACTTCTCTTCCTTAAGATTAATGTTGGAGTTATGAGGATGCAAGGTGACTCCCTTAAACCTGTGAGAGGGAAGTCACTTCCTGTTGATATTCAACCACAGTACTCATCGTAACAATTGCTGGCTGCTGCTGTAAAGAAGCAAAAAGATTTCAACCAGGATATGGAAGATTGTACTCATGTTTTATTATATCCTGATGCTAAGGAAGTTACAAGCATCCCAGGAACGGACACCCCTTTCACAGTACAGAAATACAAGGAGGCTATTGGAAAGTCCTACCAAAGAATAACGTTGTACATTTGCAGTGCTGAGGACTTTGCAAACAGTTGTAAGTAAACATCTTCCATCTTAATTCAAGCACCACTTTATTATGTTATATGTCACAGTTCTTTCATCTGCATGTGATGTTGGTAACGATGATTCTGATGTTCTCTACAAGATAAATCCACACATTAGTCATTACACTTCGTCATGGTAGTGGCAGAAACATGGTAGTGGCAGAAGTGACACAGTTTAAATATCAGAAAGAGCATCTAAATAGTTCTTTGCAAACTAAATTGGAATTGTCAATTATGGCTTGTATTTCCAATGTATTCTTTTTTGTAATCAGTGTGTGGGTTTGCTGTCCCACAATGCAAAGTTCTAAAGTGATTGGGTCGCTAACAGTGAGCACGGTAATGTGCAGATACTATGTGATTCTGCCTGGCATTTCATAAAATTAACATACTGAGTTTCAATATAACATTTATGATTGATAGTACTATAAGATTTAAGGATTCAAGGATAACTTTTCATCACAGGTGAAACTGTGGATATTAATGAAAATCTTATAGCAGTCCTGGCAATCATTGTTTTTCCAAGGTCGCAGTGAACAGTCCTCAAGTGATGATGACAGTGTGGTTCATGTTCAGTTTCCATCTGGAGACAGTCCACTTTCAGACACCCTGGTCAGTTTGCATCTGTCATGGCATTTCTCTTTAAGTCAAGTGAATTGATAATGTTTCCATTTATTAAAATCTGCCATTTGTGTGTTGTATGCCGGTGTGTGAGGGTCCAGATAAAGTGAGCAGTCCAACAATGGAGAACATTTTGTTTAGGTAAAATACATTATCAATATTATGTTTTGTTGTGCAGGCAGCAGAATGTAACCACAGAACAGTAGTTTAATTCATTCTTTTTTATATATATATTTTCAGACACCCACAACCAACATCTGAGCAAGTAAGGCTTAAAAAATGTTAGTTGCTAAGCCAATGGAATCATTAGATGAATTATATTAATGTAATTGGTACAACTAGGATGGAACAGAAACCAAAGTCCAGGAACAGGTGAAACCCCCAGAGGCCCAGACGAACTTCTATTGGTAAGCTGGGTTGATGGTTTAAGACATTACAGATTTGCTTAATTAGTGTGAATGCAGAGCATTCTTCAGCATACTGTCAGCTGTAAAAACAAATCAACTAGCAAAAGGTAGAGATTTTTAAGGACATCTTGGCTTGTATTCAGCCTTTAGATATATATATTTTTTATTAATCACAGTTTAAGTTCTGTGTTGTTTTTAGCACACTTCTGAGTTTTACATTGAGTCCTATGGAGAGAGCTAGAGTGCGTTATGTCACAGGTAGAGTGGTGCTGGGCTGGTAAATTTATCAAAATTTTTCTCTCTCAACTGTCAGCAAGGCCAGTTTTCACTCTCTATGCACAATTTATAAATGGTCTTTCTTGTTGACACCTTTTTTTTAAAGAAACAAGACACCTGGCATTCTTTTCTAGATATAACTAAGAAACATATTTGAAAATAGTTACTCAATTATTCTTTCACTTCAGTAACTACACAAATGTGTATGCACCAATCGTAATTGACAGCGAGT